ACACACACACACACACACACACACACACACACACACACACACACACACACACACAGTGAGTTCCCAGGTGGTGTTTCGGTGCTGGGACAATATAGGAGAGTGAGTAAGAAGAGTTCAGCTGTGTGATCAGATGGACGTGAGTTCGAATCATAGGTCTGGCCTTGAGCAGATATATATGCCTAAACAATGGAGGTAACAAGAGCACCTATTTCATTGGGTTTTAGTGGGGACTCAGTGAATAGATAATACAGACAAAAGCACTTGACACCGAGCTTAGCACATAGTAAGTGCTTACTGCTTGACATGATAATTACCAGCCTTGTGACTACTACTAAAGTGATCTAAAAATCTTGTATTCTTTGAGGTGCTGGGTATATTTCCTTTCCCTTGTAAGGAATGGGATGGTTAAAGAACAGTGCTGAATTATGTACCTGGAAAACAACCCGTTTATGGTAAACTTGGATGAAAAGGTTCCATCTCATCCTAACATTAGCTATGTGTGGCTGGCCGTGAGGAGTTGTAAGTGTTGTCATTAAAAGCCTGGCTTTTGGAATAGAGAAGAAGCCTGGGCTTATGGCCTAACCTCACATACAAGCCGCATCACACTGGGCAAATTGCCTAACATCTCTCAGATCTCACACCAATAGACCAGGATAAAACAGTCTTGTCCAACTCACAGAGATATTGTGAGGATCAAATGAAGATCCTGTCCCAGAAAGTGCTTTGAAATCCATAAGCGCTACACAAAGAGGGGTTATTCTGACTTATGGCCCTTATAAATATTACCTGGGATCTTTTGCTTTTGGATCCATGAGAAAATAGACATTGCCCTTCATTTTGGCCTAGGTGTTGGTAGGAATCTACTAGGAACTGTATTGAATGCCCTAACTGGTCTCTGAAGGCATCCATCACATATGAACAACTTAACTCCCCTCTGAGTCCTGAAAACTTTTAAAACAGAGGTGCCAAGGAACAAAGGCCAGGTTGCCAATGACAGCGCACCAAGTCCCCCAGGAAATTACATGTCTCTAGAAGTTTTTACTCAGAAGTTTGATGGGTAGTTGAGTCACACACTTCGATTGCAGTTCTTAGCTTTTCTTTTTGAGCCCCTGCTGTGTCCTAGAGAAAGGCTTAACAGCTCTGCTGTGATGCTGTGTTCACCTTGTTTCTCTCTCCAGAGCCAGCCTGGAATGAGACACAAATAATCACTTGAAGTTCACATTGGGTATTACAAAGTTGCAGAAAAGTATTGGAGTCCAATACAGTGCTCTGTACTTTGTGTCTGCATAAACGTACATGTTGCAGTAGGTCCTTTTTTTTTTTTTTTAAGAAGTTGGTTGTCAGTGCCACGAATGGGACTTGGGAGTTGCACGCTGCCCATTGCCCAGCTGATTGCATTTTACTTCTCATCTGCTGCTATTGGCATCATAGACATAAATGCAAACGTGGCCTTTCCCATGCAACACTTACTGAATTGCCATTTTCCAGCCAGTCATGCAGGGCTGGCAGTGATGCTGTGATG